AATAAAAAACACATCTTTCCATTTAAAATAAGAAAATGACCCCCCACTCCTCTCAAGAGAGTGATGGGGCAAATGTCAAAAATATCGTAAAATGTGTCCCCCCGTGAACTTATTACGTCACCAAAATGTCAACAAAAAAATTTGCAGCTGTTTTTGACATATCGCATTGTAACACTTTAAAAAACTTACCCTGTATAGGTTACGCAATAGGAGCTAAATGATTGTACATTCTACAGAAAGATTGAATCATAAAGGTACCTTTTGCATTACCAGCTTTATCAGACAATTATTATTGCTTTTGAGAAAGATGGTTTTTGTGTTTTTGGTGGTATCGCCTTTCGACAAAGTCTGAGCCCTGATGAGTGATGATGGCTCAAAGGCGGAAGCGCTAGGCAGCTAGTAATATACATTACGCTGAATATAAAACTAGTATTTTGACTTTTTATTCCCTGATTGTCAAGCACAGCGTACAACATTCTGTGGTACAACTGAACAGTTTCTAGTTACAAAAAAGCTACCTACTGTTCATGTAGTTGAATAAAGTATTATTTATTAAATTAATTTCAGTACATTTTTGAATTTATTTTTTTATTATTTGACAAATTTTTAAAAAATAAAAGGAATAAAAAGATAACAAATGTCTGTATGTTTGAGGTGGATTTATAATATTACCTTGCATTTTTTGGGACTTACACCTCAATTGAAATTAATGCCAGAAGTTTCTTGATTTTGATACGAATTACTACAAGCTCTCTGATTAGAGCAATTTTACCTATCAGATTATTTTTATAAAATAAATTACTCGAATCGACTTTTTATAAACGAATCGAGTTTTATTATTTCAATAAAATAATACTTGATTAGGCTCGGTGGAATGAGTTCTGGATTTTTTGCTGACGTTTCGGTACCAAATCTGCTACCGTTGTCGAAGCTTGGGGGATGGAACACCTAAAAAATAAAAAAGGCAGAAAATTGTTCCGTTTTTTCGTAAATTTGTTTGAATACTCGAATTAACTAAAACAAAAACAAATTCATGAAAATAAATTTAACATTCTCAATCGAGAAAAATCAAATAATAATATTTTAGTATCTAAAAATAATAACTTTATTGAAAAAACAGTGATAAATTTATCAAATAGACAATTAACATATGATGAAAAGATCTTTTTATCAAAAGGCTTAAATTTTTCAATACCACCTAAACACATTCCAAAATTTGACATTATAGCATCACTTGAAGAAACATCACAACACTTACCAGAAACACAACAAGAAGAATTTAGGGTCAGAACTAAAATCACACTTGACAAAACATTCAAAATCAAACAAAACCTAACATCCAAAGAAAACCAAATATTTAAATCACTAAAACAAGACAACACAATTAAGATACTTCCAGCAGACAAAGGTAACGCAACTGTTATATTAGATTCATACACATACGAACAGAAAATATCATCACTAATTACTCAAAACGTCTATACAAAATTAAACAAAGACCCAACAGAACGCATTGAAAGACAAACATACAATCTTTTAAAAAAACATAAAAACCAATTCAATGATATACAACGTAGCAAACTTACTCCACATCACAGTAAATCACCACATTTCTACGGTCTTCCAAAAATACACAAACAACAATCCACTAAGACCAATAGTCAGTAGCATAGACTCACCTACACAGCCATTATCCAGATACCTTCTCTCTATACTCAGTCCTCTGATAAACAATACAGAATCATACATAAAAAATTCACAACATCTTCTAGAAAAACTATCAGAAATTGACATAAATCCCAATCACATTTTAGTTAGTTTCGATGCTGTTAGCTTATTCACAAACGTTCCCATAGACAAAACACGACAATAGACTTATTGAACGCACTAACCTTTCAGTAAATACTATTTTAGAATTACTAACATTTTGTGTAAAAACAACATATTTTCAATACAATGACGAATATTATCAACAAGTTTCTGGTATGGCCATGGGCTCACCTTTATCACCTTTCTTAAGTAATATTTTTATGGAAGATTTCGAAATTAATAATATTGAAAATAATAACTTAAAACCCATTATTTGGTGGCGTTACATAGACGAAATATTTTCAATTTACACTCACAATGAAGACGACCTTAATAACTTTCTTTAACACATAAATTCATAAGAACCAACTATACAATTTACAATAGAAAAAGAACTAAATCACCAACTACCTTTCTTAGACATACTTATCACAAAAGACATAGACAAATTTGAAACTACAATATACAGAAAACCAACACACACAAACAGATATTTAAACTTCAATTCAAATCACCCAATCATGATTAAAACTGGTGTAGTTAAAAGCCTATACGACCGAGCCAAAACAATATGCAACAATCACAATACTTTCACTAAAGAAAAACAAAACATTAAAAATATACTTAAAACAAAACGATTACCCTGAACAATTCATAAACAAATGCATCACAAACTTCGAAAATCCAAAACCTAAACAACACGCAGACCCACCAATACCAATAACCAATCTTTACTTACCATATATACCAGGCATGTCAAACAAAATAAAACGAATCAGTAAAGACTACAATATACGCACAATTTTCAAAACACAAAACACAATAAGATCACAAATTACAAAAACAAAACCAAATAATGAGACTATTCGTACTAAAAACGTAATTTATAAAATTCCATGTAATCAATGTGATAAATTCTATATTGGTGAAACTCGTAGGCCATACAAAAACGTATCAAAGAACACAAGAACTACATAAAAAACGGGGACTTTAACAAATCAAACATATGCCAACATGCTTTTGACAATAACCATCAAATCAACTGGAATGCTTCTAGCATTCTGGCAAAGGAAGCTGTTTCAAAAACACGTAAAATCAAAGAGAGCGCATTAATTTTATTAAATAAAGACGAATGTGTTGCTTCATGCCCAACATCATTTAGTAATACGTGGCTTATTCCTTTGCTTGAATCAGAAGTAAACCAAGGTAAATTGAAATATTGAAAATTAATTAAATCTCACCTTTAGAAAATACCACCATTTCCTAGATATGATTATTGTCAAAAGTTTGACATGACATTAGTCAAAGGACCCCGCACACCTCTTATGGGTTTTTGGTTTTCTGTCAAACTCAATGAAATTTTGATATGTGTTAGACCTTGACTTCCTGATAAAAAGTTCTCATGGGCCTGAACCAATCCTATGTTTAGTTTTTGAGATACAGGTACTTTTATGTCCAAGAAATGTATACAATTTATATGTATTCACAATCTATACCTGTCAGCTAACTTGTCAGAGCGAATTTGATTGGTCGAAAACAGTCAGAAAACTAGTTACAACCAATGAAATTCACTCTGACAGACCTAATAATAGGTGACAGGTAGATGTGAATTGTGAATGCATATAAAATGTGTACATTTCTTGAACATTAAACCACCTGTATTTCGGAAACTAATCATAGTAGGTATCGGGTTGGGCCCATGAGAACTTTTTATCAGTAAGTCAAGATATACCACATATCAAAATTTCATTGAGTTTGACAGAAAACCAAAAACCCATAAGATGTGTGCGGGGTCCTTTGTATGTGTTTGTAATTTTTGCTTAATAACTCAAATTCGAGTATTCAAACAAATTTACGAAAAAACCGAACAATTTTCTGCCTTTTTTATTTTTTAGGTGTTCCATCCCCCCCAAGCTTCGACAACGGTAGCAGATTTGGTACCGAAACGTCAGCAAAAAATCCAGAACTCATACCACCGAGCCTAATCAAGTATTATTTTATTGAAATAATAAAACTCGATTCGTTTATAAAAAGTCGATTCGAGTAATTTATTTTATAAAAATAATCTGATAGGTAAAATTGCTCTAATCAGAGAGCTTGTAGTAATTCGTATCAAAATCAAGAAACTTCTGGTATTAATTTCAATTGAGGTGTAAGTCCCAAAAAATGCAAGGTAATAGAATAAAAAGATGTTGCTCAGGGGTGGGGGGGCAATTGCCCCCTTTGCCCCCCCCTGGATACGCCAGTGCATATTGGGAATTTAAACTTATTTTTAATGTTTTTCTTTGGTGTATTCAACTCAATAATGGCTTGACAAACAATGTTGTAAAATAAAGCTGAATTTATACAGCAAATAAAATAAAATAACATAAGATAAAATAACAAATACATATCGGGTCTTCAAAAAAAAAACCAATCAAAGATTGCTTTGGTTACGAAAACGTACGTCGCATTATTGTTTGTTTATTGGTCAGGATTTTTGACATGACATTTTGACATTAAATTTGATTGACTGACATTGTCAAAATTAAAGAAAAATATTGCTAAGACCTACGTTCAAAAAACCATAGCAATCTTTGATTGTTTTTTTTTTTTTGAAGACCCGATATATATAGCTAATGCATTTCTTATTTTATTTGTTATTTTCTGTATAAATAATACTTTAAGGGTAGGTATCTCATGAGGTTAACTGTTATTTCTTCTTTGTTATTTTATCTTATTTTATTTCATTTGCAGTATAAATCCAGCCTAAATCTATATCACTGTCGATACGTCTTTGGTCGATACAAGAATCTAAAACTACATCCCAATATATATTCAGCAGTATTCCACTAACTGTAGTAAAATTACATTTACAAAAATCATTGAACATGTAATGTAGGTAAAATAAACTACCTATAGTAGGTACAAGATAAGTTGTCGTACAAGACAACAAAACTGAAAACAACTAACAAGGCACAATTAATGTAAATAAACAAAACAAGTCAGTCAAAATGCACTGAACAACGACCAAACGACCAAACCAAAGACAAACCAATTGCCCTACCAAACCAAACTGAATTCAAAACAAGTTGAACAAGTGGTAAAAGTATTCTGCTTTATGAACCATCGAAGTTCCCTAAATAGGCGATAGATAGCACCATGTGCCGAGAAATCGCGTTTTTAAATCGACTACCGTGATCGGAGAGGGATTTCGAACCGTGAACTCGCGCTTTTCGCCGAACGCTCGCTATGCGCGTCTCAGTGTGCGCCGTAGCGTTCGCGTTGTCTAGATTCTTTGTACCATTCCTGGCATACCACAAACAGACAAACTCTTCGTATTAACGGACCAAAATCCGTCCTAATTAGCGTGAAAGTTGCCGCAGAGCCTACAGATTTCAATTTTGGTAAGTACCCTATTAGATAGTTATCAATTTCATTCAGTGCTGGACGTGTTTTCCGTAAAATATTAGCCGAAAATGCGAGCAATGTGCCTATAATTCCTACAATACTTTACATACTTGTCGTGCTTGCCTGTGTTCGGGAACTTCTGACGACTGACAACATCGCGGATCGGCGGGTTTCGGGGGCTCGGATATACAACAACACACACTTGAATTTCGAATTTCGTGTGCATTGCGCCCGAAATTTTGTTTACAACTCCTCAAGGTGTTCCGCCAAAAATCGCGGTATTACGGAAATTATATTTCCTCTTAAAAACGGTGAATCACGTCAGCTGCCGTCGGCTATCCCAGGCATTGTAGTGCAGTGTTGGTAGTGGACTTTACATTAGGAAGTCTTTTGTTTTATGTAAAAGAGAAACAAAACTCGGCGGCAACGACTACTTGATGCATTTATTTACTTGTTTTATTATTATGTATTCGTTTGTTTTGTAATGTAATACTTACATCCTTACTAGTGTAATTGGACTGTTGAATTTATTTACTACAGTGACTAGTGAACGTTTACTTTTTATTTGGTGATGTAGAGTGCGGCTACTGTTTCAGATTTTTCAAATTGGATTAAAAAACTTCAAATACCTACTTTGATTTGTGGAAGCTTCAACAGGAATATGTATTTAGGTATGAAGAATTTAAGAATTAAATTTTCATTCATAGAATCATTTTTATGGAATAACATTTTAGCTTCCTTTCACTCTTTTGATTTTTAGCGCTTACCTCGCTCTATCTCGATTGCTGCACATTAAAGCCTTGAAAACAAAAAAAGTAAAGAGAAGCTGAAATGTTATTGAAAATCAATTTGTGAACATTACCTATTTAGGATTATGCCTTGGATTATGCTAATTTTCCCTTGAATATACTAAGCAATTCTTAAGCCAATAGTGCTCTCTCGAAACTGAAAAGTGGTGGTAACTTTCTAATTATCATAGACATTAACTTTATTTAGTAGATATTAAATACTTCTGGAACTCTGTCTGATGAAATTATGAATAAAAAACAAAAATTAATTCATGGATCTTTTTCAGAAAAGTTTCAAAATAATAGATAAAAACCCTTCAGACAAAACAAAAGACACCATGAGATAAAAATGTTACACTACAATTTGTTTTTCAAAATAAGTGCATTTTGTTGCTTTCCAAAAACCCTGGAAAATTAATTAGGTATATTAGCTAAGTACCTAGATATATGAAAAATGCAACCCTCTTTCGTTTTTTTTTTTCATGCAGTAGGGTAAACCACCCATTTATTGGACACTTGAGATTTTTTTTTAAATCGATAAGGTGTCCAAATTTTATTTCCAGGTCTACGGAATTGAGCAAATATCTAAAATGACACTTATTATATGACCTTCAATTATCTTTATTGATATTAACTCTTTGATGGATATTTTTTTTTACAGGCAAATAACAAATGACATGACAAAAAAATTAGTTATTGGACATTTTTTTTAGTGATTGGACAAAATCAATTTAGTTATTGGACATGGAAACGATGTTTTATTTTTCTTTTATTCAACACAAAAAATGAATATTATTATCAGTTAACAATACGATTTTATCATTCTTATCTATCTAATAATATTTGGCACATTCATCTTTATACAAAGAGAATAAATAATTCATCTATTTCTCCTCATTTTCATCAGTTTTCTTCTTTTCATCTGAATTTTTATCATTTAAATCATTGTCGTTTTTGTTTTGATCTATTTCCAAGCTATCTTCCTCTTCATTCTCATCAAAATCTTCACTATCGGCTCCATCATCGCTTTCCTCCTTGTAACAAATATAACACATGAACAGATCATCATCTTCTAAGTCGGGAACGTGGTTTTTGTGTTTCTTGGGAATGCAGTGACGATGGATATATTTTTTGCAACTATCACATTTAAAGTAGTGGCTATTTTTATATAGTTGTTTTGTGCATACAAAACAATTGCCATTAGTTATACCATTGGCTGACTTACGAACTCTTTTAGTTTCCAAATTTGCTTTGGCTGCAGCCTTTTCTTCTCTTAATTGTTTCCTCTCCAATTTCTCATTCTCCTCTTTTAATTTAAGCGCGCGTTTGGCTTCAAAATTTTCTTGGTAAGATCTAGAAGTTATGGCAAACGAAACGCGCTCTACATTGCGCTTGTTCTTTCGCTGGGGTTTGTCTGGCATCGTAAGGAAATCACTGATGGTAATAATGAAGTAGCTGCATCAGTAATATTATTATCTATTGAAGGTGTCTTCAAAGTTTGAGGCAATTTTCTATTTCCAAAATTATTACTTGCAATATCAGTTGAATTCGCATGTAAAGGCCTAGTTTTTGGTTCTGGTCTGCCTCCTGGAGTATGAATAAATATACTAAAGGGGTCTGAAATTTCCCAATCTGATCTGATCGGTTCTAATGGGTTAATGCTGATACTTTCATTAACATTGATATTTTCCAAATGTAAAGGTCTAGTTTTTGGTTCTGGTCTGCCTCCTGGAGTATGAATAAATATACTAAAGGGATCTGAAGTTTCACAATTCCCAGTGATTTTGGAAAGTTTGGCATCACTTTGTATATTTTTTGATGGACCGGGCTTGTTTAATTCAACTAACGCTTCTGATCTAGTACTGGCCTCTTCCAATTCACTGGAATGTTCTTCGTTTTCATACTCCATAACTTCCATATGTTAACTGTTTCTACGGCATTGTCTTCCTTATCAGGCTTTCCGAAATAATTCCACATTTGATGAAGTATAAGGAATTCATTGTTCAATCCTTCTTTAACTAATATTGCATCAAATGATTTGAATTTTCTTATAAGCTCATTCCCTATGAAGTTGGTAAAAGTTTTATTATCCATTGTATCGGGATAGGCATGCGTCTCCTGAAAATTTTAACAAATTACGTGTGAAACTCAAGTGGAAGAAATTACAAGAAAGCTACTCACATCTGGCACAGGTTTATTAACCTTCCCCAAACACTTTGAATAATCTATTGCATTGGGATTGAAGGGAAATAATCCACATGCTTTAAATCCATTTAGAAGCGTCTCTGGCTTAACAACATTCTTCACTACACTTTCTAAAAGTGGAGCGAAGGTCATTTTGTTAAGAACTTGCCCTGGATTGCTTTCATAAAATTCCCTAACAGCTTTCTTCCAGCCAATTTTTATAGGTCTAAATATGGCAACATCAAATGGCTGCAAAATTCTAGTTGCATTCGGATACACAGCAATAACTTAAATATTCAATTCATTGCAGAGTAGGCTAAGTTCATAAGTCAAGTAGGACTTATGTCCATCCAGAAATAATATAACAGGAAAACGCACATTGTTTTCAACTAAATGCGGATGAAATATGTTTTTTATGTAATCATAGAATGTCTCTGAAGTGATCCAACCATTATCAGATCGGCCTATTCCCCAAGTGGAATTAACTGTTGCTGCTATTTTTTCAGGAATTCTTTTGTATGGGTAAATTATCATTGGGGGGCATGTCATTCTAGAGGCAGAAAAAGAGAACATAACAGTAAGATTTTCCTTTTGAGATCCTTTATCTACAGTGTAAACGTTTTTTTACTCCTTTTCCAGCAAAAACTTTACCAGTGCTCGGGCAGATTTGGAAGCCTGTCTCATCCCCATTATATATTCGAGAAGGATCGTCTATATTTATGTTTTTAGACTCCAAATAACCTCTTATCTCATCAAACCATTTTCTGATGTCTGCTTCTGATACACAAGCACTTGCTGAACTAACAGCTTCGCTAGTTCTCTGCACAATTGTGGGATGCCTTCTTAGGAAAGCCTAGGTAAATGGGCGAAATTAAATTATTGAAGAAACCAAATGGCATTAAGTTGTATGTACCTTAAACCAACATTCACCAGGTCTGTGATTTTTAAACGGATTGAGTCGTGGATTCTCTATCAAGAATTGTTGAACACTATTTAAAATCTCATCTTTCTTTCTTGGGAATCCACGATTTGCAAGTTCTTCTATCCACCTAGAGGGAGAGATGTTGAATTCAAATACAAATCAATATAAATACTGTCAATTGACTTACGTTACTAGCTTAGATTCCTCTCTTAAAGTCAAAATAGGCGATGGACCGCAAGTATCTTTGTGCCCAGGATTTTCTAATTTAAAATCCAATGTTGATTTTGGCACGCCATATTTTTTTGTGGCTGCTCTAAGTGATAATGTATTGCTTTCAGTTATTGGACAGTTTATTATTCATTTATGGGACACGCGTCCAATAACTAGTTAGAATCAAAATATCTGAAAAAATTATACATTAAAAGAAACAGCGTGAAAAGTCTGAACAAATGCTGCATAAAACTCAAAAATCTTGTTGAATCAGTTATTGGACAGGTGTCCAATAACTGAAAAAAAAAGTATTTTTGAATCCAGTTATTGGCCTCCCCTGGATTCGAGCCCAAGAAAACATATCGGACCAGTAAAGCTGTCAATCTTACCTTTTCATATAAGTGAATACACATAAAATATCAGGTTTTGATACACCTCTGCGATTTATACTAAATTAGCACAATAATTACGCACAAACGGCCTTAACGACAATAATTACGCACAAACGGCCTTAACGAAATTAAAAAAAATACACCAACTTCTTACACCTCCATCGAATATCAAAAAACGCGGGAAATAAAAAGTTGCGCACGCCTTTGCCGTTATTGTCAAAACTTGGTCAAATGTATGGTAGTGCCAGTCAGAAGAACTAAAGGTTCGTAGGAATCTTGTTTTTGGGTATTAGATTAAAACTGTCCGAATTGAATTATTACTTTTTGGAAATGCTAATTTCGAGCCTATTTTGCCTTTTGGCAAACACAAGGATTGCAAGACTGTTACAGATTGTACAAAATCGCTCATCTAATCCACGATAATAAATCTAAATAAATAAAAAGCAAAGCAAAATACTATATTCACCAAGATATTTACAAAACAATTTCCTCAACAATTT